TGAAATAAACGACATAAAAAAAGAAAATAATAAGATTTACACGCGGTCGGGCGGATGAATCCAAAACTTCCATGCGATATTTGGGAACACTCTGTTTAAAAAATATGTAATAAACGAACTCTTCATTGTATGTGCGCCAGTAGTGTATGACTCACCACGTGTTTCATTTGAGCGCATTGGTTTATTCTCAATCTGCTTAATTTTAGGCAGTGGAAGCGAAAACAAATTTTCCGCAAATTGCAACAAAAAACGCGTCAAGTTGAAATTCAGAAAATCATCTTGACCAATCGGGTGATTCCACATCGGGAACATTTTCTTTTAAATGCTTATCAAAAGGCATACTTAAGAAATTAACTCATCAAATAAACTGCTCGGCAAAATGAACGTTACACTGCCCGATTTGTCCTAACTTTGAACGGGGATAAATTCTGATTGCTTATAGCGATTTGGTTGTGTCGAGTTTTTTTCGCTTTTGAGTTGTTGTCGCTCTGTATGGCAATGAGTTATAACTCATTACGTCGCCGCACTTTAAATGACGCTTTCAATTTTACGACTGTGTCGAAACTTTATTTTAACCCCTAAAAAAATAAGTGGAACGTGAAATTGTCTTTTTTCTCGAGAAAATGGATGATGGGGCACCAGCTTGCAGAAAGCTGTTAGGAATGATCTCTAGTCCATAAATCTTTTAGTTTGAAAAGTTCAGTTTTTCGACAAGCAACTGAAATGTTGTGGATTCGACTTTGCTCAAGAACCATTTGAGCCACAAAGTGCCTTTTTGTATCATTGAAAATTGTATTTAGTTATAACAACGTGCGAAAGTAGCTCAGACAAACTTTCTACAGGGTTGCGAATGGAAAAATACAAAATTTCGGAAAGTTTGGCATGCTGCTAGTTGCACAAAAAAGTTTTCATGTCTTTTTTTTTATCTAATAAGCCAAATAGCTCGAAATGGTTTTTGAGTTTCCAGGCCATCTCCTATGTACCGGGTGGTCTCAAAAAATAAATTTTTTGGTTTTGCAGCGATAGCTTTTCCGGTCTTGGTCCGATTTTCACATTTCGTCTAGAGCTCATGTTGAAGCTTAAACCTTACAGACAATTTCAGACGAAAATTCGATATACAGGGCGTGTGATTCTGGTAGATTTTCAACTAAGTGAAGTTTACTTTCTAGTATTTGGTTTTAAAGTTTTAGCTTCAACATAAATCGTAGATTTTGAAAATGGGTCCAAGAGAAAAACGATCACTGTAAGGCCAAAAATAGGTCACCCTGTAGATAAACGAGGTCCATGTTAGTGTCTATGGTATTAAAATTCCAAAAAAAATTGTCCAACTGAGAGCATGTGGAGCTTTCACCAATTTTGCATGGTTTCATTTGCCACCCTGTAGAAACTTGATTTGACGCACTAATTATTATCAAAAACACGCACTAGCCGCGCAAAGAATTGCATTAAATAACGCTTCAGACAAACCAAATCGCTTAAAGCAATCGGAATTGATCCAGTTTCAAAGTTGGTCGAAACTTGTCGGTGTAGCGTCGACTTTGTTGAGCAGTTTAGGACACCCTGTATATGTGAATACTAGTTGTATAAAATGTGGCCACGTTTGTGCCAATTTTTGAATGATTACGTGTGAGTTATGAGGAAGAACCCAAGACTGAATCGTTTGTTCAATGCAAAAGAGCATTTTTCAAGTATGCCTCAGGTTTAGATTATTTGTGAGCCACACCAAACTACCTAAAATATGTGTATCTAATGTGTCTTTCGAGAATTTGTATAAATTAAAGTTCGATTTGGATTGTTCGTGACTAATTAATAAATGCGTTATTTATGTATGTATTTTCATAGAGTAACATTAAAGAATAGGCAATATTTTACTATGCTTTAAGGAAGTTTACATATCTATTTTTGGACCTAATTTTTTGTTGGAAGTTGCTGCAGATGTTTCGGGTTTGGCGTGTTCTAGTGCAATTCTTACACACTACTTTTAGTCGAAATTGCGATTTTTGAGTGGAAACACCGGATCGCATAAATAAATTGTATATTCATCTGAACTTGTAAATAGCAAAAATCTCTGCAACCCCCGTAAATTGACAAAAACATGCCGCAAACAACCTTATATTCCAATAGTTTAGCCATTGATCATCAATGAATATGTTCAACGTTTTCTGTATCTGATACTGAGACTGAGACAGGGTATGGATACCGTGTAAGAACCTAGAAATTTTGTATTACCTGCTGTTCTCCTAGCTGAATTAGACTAATATCGCCCTTTCAAACCGTTATACATATACAACTTAGTGTAGTGACAATCTTAGGCTCTAGAGATATATCAACATAGTTCTCCTATCGCCTCGACTTAATTTTGGAAGTGCTGCTCTCGAATTTGTATGATTATTTATTAGTGAATGATTCGCATTTCCAGTCGATAGAAAAAGGCATCGAAAACTGTACATACCCACTGAAAATCGTTCATTTTTCAGTTGTCCTTATGTAAATAAACTATGGTTATTGTGTAAATACTTAACAAGTATAGCGATAATAAAACATTCACCACTGGGTCGCAGTTTGTTTTTCCTACACGCTGTATATCAGGAAGAATGAAAGGCAGTTTTTGACAAAAAACCTGCGTATTTAATTAATAAATTTAATCAAAATTAAACTTTGCAACTGTAACAATAACTTTTTCCTTAAGTACGATAGAACGAATAACAAAAAACAGTTTGCGAATCGTTTTCAGAATCCGTGAAACAACCGAAAACTTTCGTGAGCACATTTCAAACTTCTTTATTTAAGTACTGTGCGAGTACTAGCAGTCCAAAGCTTGAAATCGCGAAAACGCTCCCAGGGATACTGGCCAGCAGCTGATACCTTTCCTCTGCAAAAAAACCCAAATTAACCCCGATGATTTTCCAATTAAATCCAAATTACCGGTCATAACTGCGGATTTTTTCGGTGAAACCCATCCAAGGGATCTTTGCACTGCCATTTTCCACTTCGCATACCGCGTATCCCTTTCTGGAAATGAAATTAGTTAGCTGCCTTAATCAATCGACTATTTTAAAAAAATTACCGTCTTCTGTAGATGTGGGCAAAAAGGTATCATTAGGAATCAGGTCTCTTTCCTCGGCGTGTACATCCCAAACTTCCACTCCTTTGGCCATTCCAGCTGCCATCGCTACCCCTAAGGCCGTAATATCATGGGCGTGAGCTCGCACAACAGGAATTCCAGTAATATCAGCCTGAAACAAAACAACCCTATAGTTAAGGATTTTACGTCTAATTTTATTTATTTTACACAGATCAAGAAGAGTTCGGCACAAGTTGCGGCATCAAACAGTCCCTAAGTGTCCATTTTATTACGTTAAAATTGAAAATATGTTGCTATTGAAGTTGTACAGAGCCCCACAGCCACCAAACTGTCTGTAATGATGCTGTGGTTAATTAGTGAGCGTGATGACAGTCAGTAAAAGACGCCTATTTGCCTATAAGGCGTCTTTTACCGACTGTCTGTAATGTTTTCTAAACTTTTTCTTGGCTATTTTTGCCTCAAAATTTGCCGGTGAAAACGCAGAATTTCTCGGGTCTTCCACTATAGAAAACGTGGGGAAATTGTGTTTTTAAAAGACCAAACAATTCAGGC